TGGGGGCAGGGACGGGGGATTAGGTGTGGGAATTGGGTTTAAGGGATTGGGATTGAGGTGCAGGAGCTGGGGGGGATCAGGGAGAGGAGCTGGGATGGGTCTGGGGTATTTGGGGACAGGGGGAGGAGATGGGGAAGGGTCGGGATGGATTTGGGATGAAGGGAATGGGGAATGACAGGCACAGGGGGAACCGGGCTGGGAGAAGAGGCAGTGCAGCCCCCCCAGGAGGATTGGGAGGGGGCTGTGCTGTCCCCCACGTTTTTTGGGGTTTGTGCAGCCCCCGAGTCCTGGCTGGGAGTGTCCGGCAGTCCTGGTGCTGACCAGAACCCGGGGAGCCCTCAGGGTGACCCCAGAGACTCCAGGGAGATGGAATTTGTGGCTGTAACTCCTGTGAAACACCTTGAAATAGCAAATGCACTGGAAAGTGGAAAAAGGAATTGGTTATTCCTTCTCGAGGGAGATAAGGAAAAGTCTGAGAGCAAGAATTCTGGGATGTGAGAGGAGGAAATGCAGGATCAAGTGTCTGAGTCAGGCTTTTCCAAATCCTCTGGAAACTCTCACCACATTAGCTGACAAGTTCTGTGCAGTCCAAGCTCTGGTTGTTGCCTGCCTCTCATCCTTAATTTGTTTTCCAGGGAGATCTGGGCCCCTTCAATCCTGGTTTGCCAGTGGAGGTGCCTGTGTGGTTGGCCATTAATCTGAAGCAGAGGCAGAAGTGTCGGCTCATTCCCCCAGAATGGATGGATGTTGGTGAGGATGGAGGCTCTGACTTCAGCTCTGGCCTTCAGTGGGTGCAGTGGAAACATGAAATTCAAAATAATCCGTTTTTCACCATTGGTGGGGAGCTTAATTCAGAAACACAAAGGAACTGAGAGAGAAGGATCTCACCTTCCACCACAGGAATTCTTTATTACTGAGGGTGGTGAGGCTTGGTCAGAAGAAGCTTTAGGGACTTTGGATCACAGAATGCTAGAATTTTTAGGTTGGAAGAGACCTCCAACCTTATCAAGTCCAGCTTGTGCCCAGAGCACTGAGTGCCACATCCAGCCATTGCTTGGGCACCTCCAGCAATGGGGAGCCCAAACCTCCCTGGGCTGCCCCTTCCAGTGTTTAATCACCCTTCCAGTCAGGAATTCCTTCTGATGTCCAAGCTCAACCTCCCCTGGCAAAACTTGAGGCTGTTTCCTCTCATCCTGTCACAAATTCCCTGGGAAAATCTCTGTGAGGAGGGAGACCTTGGAGGGATCCATGTCCCCTGTGCCTCCTCACAGGAGCCTTTTCACGCCCTCGCATCGTTGGAGGCTTGGACACTGAGCTGATCCTACAGAAACAACGTGGCTTTTCCTGGGGAGGGGGAAAACCATGGCTGGAGCACTGGAGGCCAGGCAAAACCTGAGCATCCCTGCTTGTATTTTAGGGAAACTGGAGGAAATCCGGGATCAGGAGCGGAAAGAGGACACCTTCACTCCGATGCCCAGTCCCTACTACATGGAACTCACCAAGCTGCTGCTGAACTAGTGAGTAGGAGCTGAGCCGGGCCATTTTCCACCCCACTTCGTGCGAGCACGGAAGATTTTTCAAGCTTTGCTTGGCAGCAGCCCCGGAGGGCGGTGGGGAAAGGGAGAGTTGAGGGAGCTTTATCCCTCAGCCTGCCAAGATTTCACGGCAGCACTTCCCTCATGGTAACTCTGCCTCTCAGGAACTTGGGGATCGTTTGTTCCGTGGCCTCGTAATTGGGGCTGTGCCGCTTTATTGAGCAGCAGCTCAGCGTGGAGGCCTGGAGGATCCGCAACACGTTCCACGGCTGCAATCTGTTCAGCAGCCTCAAGCCTCCAGGCTTCTTCCTTGGCTCTCCTTCAGGAGGAAAGCTCCTCTCCCCTCAGCCTGGGAAGCAGGAGGCCGGGGATATTCCGAGCCTGAGCTCCTGCCTGCTGAGGCATTTCACTTGTAAAATGTGCTGGCTGGTATTTGTCTCAGCGAGGGCTCTGCTGACTTTTTAAGCCCTCGATTAAGCAGGGTGGGCATTCCAGCTCTGGCTTTTCCTCTGGAGAGGAGGCTCCTGGCGTGCTGCTCCTTCCCAGCACGCTCCAGCAGCCCCGACAGCTCTGTCCGTGCGCATCCATCGCGTCTCCCAGCTCCTTATGGCAGCGCTGAATGGCCTTAATGGGGTGATGTGGCACATCCCATCCAGCCTTTCCAGCTTAATTCTCCCTGATGGAGCCCCGAGCCGGGGATTTCACCGTGCCTGAGCCCTTGGATTCCCCGGCTGGCCGTGACTTTGGCCAGATTTGGAGCCCTCTGTGCACCTCGTACCAGCTGGGCAATTAAAGAGCAGAAGGATTCTAGTGACAACCAGCTGCTGCATTGAAGCCGGGCATTCCTGGGGAAAGAAACCATCCCAGAAATCCCAGCAGGATGAGGAGCAGAGAGGATTTTCATGTGAAGTCGCAGGTTTTTAGCAAACCGCCCTGCGAGCGCCTCGGGGAGGGGTGAGATGGTGACAGCAGCAGTCAGTGACATAAACCACTCGATGGTGACATAACCACACACCCCTCTGAGCCTGCTCTGAGCCTGCCTTTCCTTCCCCTGTCCCAGTGCCTCTGACAACATCCCCAGAGCGGACGAGATCCGGACGCTGGTGAAGGACACGTGGGACACGCGCATGGCCAAGCTGCGCCTGTCCGCCGACAGCTTCGTGCGGCAGCAGGAGGCTCACGCCAAGGTGTGCCAGGGCCTCATCCCAGCAGGGATTCAGCTGCCCCAGGGTGCTGAGGGGTGAGGGATGAGCTGCTGGGAAAAGGCTGGCTTGGGACATGCTTGTCCTGGGTTGTGGGTGCGTCAGTAGGGAGCTGGAGCTGTGTGTGTGTTGAACCTCGTGGGGCAGGGGCAGCTCCTTGTGGGAAGCAGTCGTGGAATGGTTTGGGTTGGCTCCTAAAGGTCTCATTCCACACCTTCCACTAGAGCAGGCAGCTCCAGGCCTCATCCAGCCTGTCCTTGAACACTTCCAGGAATAGGGAATGCTCTTGAGGAGGTGCTGGGATGCGTCTCTTGACCGGGGCTGGCAGCTGGGTCAGTCCCTTGGGGTGTCACCAAAGGGAACCGAGGGCTGTGAGCTGCTTCCCGACTATCTTGTCTTCCCAGATCCTGTTCTCTCCCCTTTTAGCTGGATAACTTAACCCTGATGGAGATCAACAGCACCGGGACTTTCCTTACCCAAGCCTTGGACCACATGTACAAGCTCCGGACTAACCTCCAGCCTGGCGAGAGCTCCCACTCCCAGGATTTCTGACAGGGAGCTGGGAAAGAGCTGCTTCATCTGGCCGGCTCCCACCTCCCTGCAGGGACCTCCCGGCCCCTCATTCCCCCCGGGGCCGGCTGGGAATCGCTCCGGAGCATCCCTCGGTGCAGGCGGTGACTCGCTGGGCGGATCTCTCGGGTTGTACTTCAGCGAGGGAACTTCTGAGGGCAGCACAGGCCACACGCTGCCTTGAAAGCCATAAATTTCGAGGCGGTGCTTCCATGGATTTTCTTAGAGCCTTGGGGAAAAAAAAAAAAAAAGGAAAGGAAAAAAAAAAGAAGGGAAGATGTGCTGGCAATGAGGTGTCTGCTGGGGAGATCAGCTGGGAAGCAGATCCATCTGCTCTTTGGAGAAGGACAAAAGAAAATGGTTTTCCCTCTCAGATACCAGGCTGTGGGGAAATAGCAGAATGTCATCCATCTTTGTTTTTGTAATATTTGGGGTTTTAATCTGAAACTGTCTGTAAAAAATAATAACGATAATAAAATAAAAAAAAATAAATAATTGCAGCTGAAGAACGGCATCAAATTAATCCTGGGCTGTGTCACAAACAATGCTTGGAAAATCCTGCGGCTCCCTCCTTTGGCTCCGGCCCTGTTTCCCTGCAGCAGAGCGACAGGAAAGGGCAGGAGCCAGGCTGAATCAAGGCAGAATCCAGGCAGGATTGAGGTGGGATCCAGGCTGAATCCAGGGCAGGATCAAGGCTGGATCTGGCTGGGATCAAGGCGGGATCCAGGCATGATTCAGGCTGGATCAAGGCAGGATCTAGGGCAGAATTCGGACAGGATCCAGGCATGATCCAGGGCAGGATCCAGCTGGGATCCAGGCATGATTCAGGCTGGATCCAGGGCAGGATCAAGGCAGGATCCAGCTGGGATCAAGGCAAGATCCAGGACAGGATCAAGGCAAGATCCAGGACAGGATCAAGGCAAGATCCAGGACAGGATCCAGGCATGATTCAGGCTGGATCCAGGCAGGATCAAGGCAGGATCTAGGGCAGAATTTGGACAGGATCCAGGCATGATTCAGGCTGGATCCAGGGCAAGATCCGGGCAGGATGCAGCCGGGATCAAGGCAGGATCCGGGCAGGATCAAGGCTGGATCCAGGGCAGGATCCGGGCAGGATCCAGGCAGGATCAAGGCAGGATCCAGGGCAGGATCCAGGCATGATTCAGGCTGGATCCAGGGCAGGATCTGGGCAGGATCCAGGCAGGATCCAGGGCAGGATCAAGGCATGATCCAGGGCAGGATCCAGCTGGGATCCGGGCAGGATCCAGGCAGGATCAAGACAGGATCCGGGCAGGATCCAGGGCAGGATCCGGATCCAGGGCAGGATCCAGGCAGGATCCAGGCAGGATCCAGGGCAGGATCCAGGGCAGGATCAAGGCAGGATCCAGGCATGATTCAGGCAGGATCAAGGCAGGATCCAGGCAGGATCAAGGCAGGATCCAGGGCAGGATCCAGGGCAGGATCCAGGCAGGATCCAGGGCAGGATCCAGGGCAGGATCCAGGCAGGATCCAGGGCAGGATCCAGGCAGGATGCAGGGCAGGATCCAGGCAGGATCAGGGCAGGATCCAGGCAGGATCCGGGCAGGATCCGGGCAGGATGCAGCCGGAGCAGGGCTGTGCTGATGGCAGCTGTAATTACTCCCGGTGCCCGAGGGTGCCAGGCTGGCAGCGCTGCCCTTCCCTGAGCATCTGGGCCGGGCTCCCGCTGCCATCTGTGCCCTGCCAGCCTGGGCTGTGCCCCAAGGGGTGGCACAGCGGGAAGGATGGCAGGAATGACGGCAGGAGCTGCCGGGAATGCTCGGAGCAGGGCTGGGGATGCACTCCCCACGGAGAAAGGATTCCTTGCTGTCGTTGTGGAAGAGTTTATTTTGTTGGTTTTTTTTTGGGGGGGGATGTTTTCAGGAGTTACAGCAATATATTCATAAATACCTAATTACTACATTCAACAAATAATATATTACATTACAATTAATTTCAACATAGTACACTTTGAACATGTTTAGGGTTGGGTTTTTATCCTTTTTTGGGTTTTTTTTTTTTTTGTTTTGTTTCACAGCATCCAACCTGCCCCCAGCAGGCTTTGCTTTCCTCTCCTTCCAGCCCTCCCAGGCTCTGGCACAGCTGCTCCAGCAATTCTGCACAGACACAAACGCTCACCACAACCCTGGGGCGGGGGGAAAATCAGCCCAAAACCCCTGAATCCAGGCTGGTGAGGAGGGAAAGTCAGCACAGGAGCTGCTGCAAAGCCAGGCTGCATCCCAGCCAGGCTCCTCAGCACGGCGAGGGATAAATTGCCAATGATTTTCCATCCCTGCCTTCTTCCCCCTCCCTCTGCCAGGGCACACAGGAAGGGAAAGGAGCAGGGCAAGGAGTGAATTTTGCCGTGTTAAAATTCCCTTCCAAGCCTGGAGTTGGCAGCGGCGAGGCCAGAGGCTGGCGAGGCAATTGGGGATTTAAAAAAGATTAAACTAATTTCTGTCACAAGGGCATTTTGCTTTTTAATCTTGCCCAGCGTTTTTTATTTGGTGAAGCCAATGAGAGAGCAGGGAGCAGGGGGGCTGTAGGGGGGGGTTAATGCTTTCCTTTGCCAGTGCAACCAGGGAATTTAAAGCAGGAAGCAGAGGTCACCTTTTCCCGGAGATGTGAGCTGGTCTCGTGGCGAATTAAAAACAATTTCTAATAAATAATTTAAAAATAACAATCAAATAAAAAGGTTCCCCCGGAGGAGGGGAAGAGGGGCATGCGCTGCTTTTTAGCAACGGCTCAAAATGGCACCGAGCCTGACCCTGGTGGCACCAGGACATCCCTGCCCGCCTGCGGGCACAGCTCCCCGTGGATTGTCCCCAAAGTGCCACCAAGAGACCCCACAGGACCCCCTCTCCCCGTGCCCAAACTGCCTTAGAGCCGCTCTGATTGTCTTGGTATGTTTTTGGGGTGGACAAGGACACCCCAGTGCCACCCACCCCTCGACCCTCCGCCCTCTCAGCGCAATTCCTTGGGATTTTTCCTTTGGCAGACGGAGCCTGGGCAAGGCTCAGACACCACCCGGCACCGTGACACCCACGATGACCCAGCTGGAGCAGAAAAAGCCCCAGAAAGCAAAGAAAAAGGGTAAAAATTAAAAAATAAACCCCACACAGGAGGGTGGAAGGGCTCAGCTTCCCGAGGGACTGGTGGTGGGACAGGACCTGCCCCGGTGGAAAAGGGGATTTATTTTTCCTGGGTTTCAGCTCTTTTTTAAAACATTTCAGTATCTTTTCTGGCCTGACCAGCAGCAGTACAAACACTAAAAGCGAGCTAATCCTTTTGCCAAAAGGAAAAAAAAAATAAAAATAAACAAACTAGAAACAACATAAAAATGGGAGGGGGAAGGAGCGGTGGGGGGGGAAAAAAAAGGAAAAAAAAAAGCAGAAACATCTTAAAAAAAAAGGCAAGCTTTTTATAACAATAATTAAAGCAATAAAAACATACAAAACTTTGTTGTTTTTTAATATATATACACAGTACAAGGCTGAAGCACCTTTTTTTTTTTTTTTTCTTTACTTTTCCGCCTGTTCAATCCCAAAGCCGGGGTGACAAAGTGACCCCACGCGTGTCCCTGCCCCTTCCCCGCCAACCAGGAACAAAAAGGGACCTTCAACCAGTTTATTGACTTTATTTTTTGATAGCGAAGTGCATTTCCAGGGGAAACCCCGGGCTGGGGGTGCGGTGCTGGGCCCCCGGGGCCCCGCCGGGTTTAGTGTTGTCGGTGGAGTCTTTCATTGTCTTTTTTTTCTCTTTTTTTTTTTTTTTTTTTTTTAGAAAAAACCCCAAAGAACCAACAAAAATGAGCATTATAAAGTGTGGGTGGAGTGGGGAGGGCTTCAGAGCCGTGGCCCCCGGAGGAGGGGACAGGAGGGGACAAGCCGGGGGCTGCTGGCCGTGGGATGGGCTCCCAGCTCCTCCCGGCTCCCGTTTGCTTCATGCATGGCACATTCTCCATTTATTTCTCTATTTTTATTATTTATTTTTTTTTCCTCTTTTCTTCCTTTTATTATTAATGATTCTCTCGTGGTGGTTCGTTTTTTTTGTGGTGTTTTTTTGTTTTTTTGGTTGTTTTTTTTTTATTTTATTTTTATTTTTTTTTTTTAGCTTCAAACCTCCCAGTGAAAAATATTAAATATTCAAGGTAATAAAATAGATTATTATTTCTAGACTATATGTTCGGCCTGGCCCAAGGAGCGTCACCTGGGATACCCCTTGAAATAACCCCTAGACCACTGCATTGCAGGCAAGGCAAGGCACTTCCGCAGGTGATCCAGCTCCGCTTGCAGGCGCTCCCGCTCCGACACCATCTTCTGCTTCTGGCTCCTCAGCTCCTGTGGGGAATGGAACGCTCAGCAGGCACCTCCCGGGGCAGGGAAGGGCTGGGCAACAGGCTGGGAATGGGATACAGCAGGGAATGGGCAGGGCGTGGATGGGGCACTGCAGGAATGGACACGGAGTTTGGGCACTGCAGGGAATGGGCATTGAGAGTTTGGGCACTGAGAGTTAGGGGACTGAGAATTTGGGCATTGAGAGTTTGGGGACTGAGAGTTTGGGCATTGAGAGTTTGGGCATTGAGAATTGGGGGACTGTAGGAAATGGGTACTGAGAGTTTGGGCATTGAGAGTTTGGACACTGAGAATTTGGGCATTGCAGGGAATGGACACTGAGAGTTTGGGCACTGTAGGAAATGGGCACTGAGAGTTTGGGAATTGAGAGTTTGGGCACTGCAGGGATGGAGACAGAGTTTGGGCACTGTAGGAATGGACACAGATTTTTTTGGCACTGAGAATTTGGGCACTTCAGGAATGGACACTGAGAGTTTGGAAGGCTGGGTGCCCAAGAAGGCTGGGTGTACAGGGGATGGGTACCCACAGAGCCTGGTGCCCAGATGATGGGGTCCCAGGAGATGAGTGTGGGTACCCAGGAGATGAGTGTGGGCAGCCAGGGGATGAGTGTGGGTACCCAGGAGATGAGTGTGGGCAGCCAGGGGATGAGTGTGGGTACCCAGGGGATGAGTGTGGGTACCCAGGAGATGAGTGTGGGCACCCAGGGGATGAGTGTGGGTACCCAGGGGATGAGTGTGGGTACCCAGGGGATGAGTACCCAGGGGATGTGTGTCCAGGGGCTGAGTGCCCAGGGGCTGGGTGCCCAGGGGACGTGTGCCCATGCCCACTCACCGCCATGCTGTGTGACAGCTGCTCGGCTGTCAGGCTCAGGGTGTAGTGCTGCGCCTCCAGCCGCCGGCACTGCGTCTGCAGCACCTGGCGCTCCAGGTTTTGTTCTGCAACATCCAAAGGGCAAGGGCTGAACACCAGCTCCTCTGGCTCCATGCACCACCCACAGAGGGGGCCAGCCCTGCTCTGATTGCCCCCAGCATCCCAGAGCATTCCCAACCCTGGCACTGCCTGTGGGGAGCCTTTAGGTCCCACTGGGAGGACACTGAGCAGCTGTGAATATCTCAATTTTTCATGCATACATCACGTTTTGCAAAAACAGCAACACTGCCTGTTGCTTTCATGCTGCTCCTGCATTGCTGGAGATCCCCCAGTGCTTCCCCAGCCCATCCCAGCAGGAATCAGTGACACCTCCCAGGGGAAACCAAACCAGAAATTGGCATTTCACCCTCCCTGCCCAACACCCTGCACCCCCCCTTACCTTCTATATGTTCCTGGTAAGCTTCAAAAATTGCCTCGATCCCTTGCCACTTGGGCCTGGGGTAATCTTCCTCCTCTTCCTCCTCTTCCTCCTCCTCCTCCTCGTCCTCGGAGGCGGAGTCCCGGGCCAGGGGGGGCAGTGGCCGGAGCGGCCCCTCGGCCGTGCCGTTGTGCGGGGGCCCGGCCAGGCGGGTGGACGCCTGCAGCTCCGGGATGTTGTAGTGGATGGAGGTGTCCAGTTTGTGGTTCTGCTCCGCCGTCAGCGCCGCCGTCCCCCCTGTGGGCAGCCACACTCAGCCCCTGCCCACTCCCCACGCACCCTTCCAGGCATTCATTCCACCCTTTCCCAGACTTTTCAGGGGCTTACAGCATCTTCTGGGGGTTTTTATCACTCCTTGTATTCTTTATTTATTTCATACACTCAGCTGAGTGAGTTTGGAGGCTTTGCAGCTGTATGATCCCTAATTTTTAGCTTCAGCAATGAGCTCCTGGGATGTTCCAGCAATGAGGTTGCCAGTGCCAAACCCCTGGGGGGGGACAAGGGGGTGATATCCCAGTACCCAACCAGCTCCCTGCATCCCTGCTGCTTTTTATGGACATCAGGGAGAATTTCTTCATTGGCAGGGCTGTCAAACACTGGGAGGAGCTGCCCTGAGAGCTGGTGGAGTCCCCACCCCTGGAGGGTTTCAAGAAGGGCTCAATGTGGCACTCAGTGCAAAATCTCACTCTCCTGGATTCTTAAGCACTTTAGATTTGTAAGTGAGGCCTGTAAGGAAGTCATTGCAGTGTGGTATGGTAAATTCCATATGAATCCCTAGCTAAATTGTTTAAGTTATCAATTAAGTTTAAATGCTGTTAAGTTAAATGCTGCTGGGCCTTTAAACATAACCTGTTGATCAAGTCCAGGCTCAGTTTAGCACAGGGGTCTGCTCTGAACTTGTGACTCGAGGGTGTCCCCCTTCTTTCTGTCCTTACCCTTTCCCCCTTCTCCAGCCTTCACACAAATTATTTGGGGGTTTCTTTATTGACTTTGGACTTTTGTTTGCTCAGAGTGCTTTAACCATCTAATAAACAGTAGAGTGAACCTTGCCAAAGAACTTTGTTGTGATAATCCTGGTTTTACCTGGTTTTACCCTAAACCTGGTTCCGCTGGTGATTCTTTAAGTGGCTTTAAAACAGCGATTCCCAACAACTTCCCATTACCTTTGTGCTTCTGCAGCGCCTTCTGCGTGGACTGCAGCACCGACTCATGGAACTGGTGGGCAAATTCCTCGGCAATGAAGGGTTCCCAGGGCTTGCTCTTGCCGTTCATGCTGTGGGACAGCGGCACCGGTGCTGTGGGACAGCGGCACCGGGATGTCCTTGGGGAGGGGACCCCTGACGTAGCTGAGGATGCTCAGAGCCTTCTTTCCAGGGTGCCCATCGCCCAGCCGGGGCTTCTCCGGCGCCGTGCCCGCCTCCTTGGGCCTGGCTGGCTCCTGGGGTCTCAGCTGCTCTAACCTGGAGGCTTCCGCCGCCTTCGGCACCTCGGGCACGGAGACGGCGATGCCCACGGGTTTATCCAGGTCCAGCAGGAGCGGCGGCACCGGAGGCTCTTTGGGAAGAGGAGGAGCAGTTGGCTGCAGCTGGAGTCCGTGCTCCCCTCGAGGCAAAACCGTGCCCCACAGCCCAACACCCAGGGAAGGACTCGGGGCGCTTACCAGTGCTGGGGGCACCGGGGCTGTCCCGCGGGGAGCTCTTCACCACCACGGCGGCCGGCGTGGTCTTCTGCTTCATGGCCTGGAGCATCTCCACCAGCTTCTCCTTGTCTGCGGCATGGGAAGCTGAGGTTTAGTGTAGCCTCTGCTCAGCAGAGCAAGCTCAGGGCCCCAGGCAGGTCCCCTAGGGCACCCCCAAACCCCAGCGTGCGCGGGCCATGGCTGTTACCTTTCCTCTTCTCGGCGCTGATGTGCGTGAGGTTGAAGATGGTGAGGAAGCGCTTCTTCTCCTCGAAGTTGGGGCTGTTGTTCATCTCGTCGGGGCTGTAGCGGGTGGAGAGCGGGAGGCGCGGGGAGGGCGTGCGGCGCTTGTTCTGCACCGTGGGCGGAGAGGGGCTCCGCTCCCGCAGCATCCGCCGGCGCTTGCGCCGCTTCTGGCTCAGCAGTTCCTCCTTCTGCTGCTGCGTGGTGAGGCCGAAGAGCTGCAGGAACTCCAGCTTCTGGGTGACCAGGGGGAGAGCAGAGCAGGGTCATCCCCCATCCTTGTCTTCATCCCCATGCCATTGGCAATTCCCATCCTCATGCCCACCCTCATCCCTGTTGCAATCCCCATCTCTATTCCCATCCCTATTCTCATCCCCATTCCCCCAATCCTCATTTTCATTCCTGTTCCCATCTCCATTCCCATTCCCATCCCCATCCCTAATCTCATCCCCATTCCTCTCATCCTCATTTTCATTCCTGTTCCCATCCCTATCCTCATCCCACCTCCATTCCCGTTCCAATGCCCATCCTTCCCTCCATCCCCATTTCCATGCCCATCCTCATCGCCCCCATCTCTAAGCCCCTGGTGCCTCTGCAGACATGTGGGGATGGTGGCTGTATTGGGCACTGGGAACTGGTGTAATGGAGGGGCTGCTCCCCCAGGGGACAGGGAGGGGACAGGGAGAGGACAGGGAGAGGACAGGGAGGGGACAGGGGGTGCCACCAGTACCTCAGAGGACGTGTCCAGCTTCAGCGGGGGCTGCTCAGCCACGCAGCGGAGATGGGCCCGCACCTCCTCCTCGTCACTGTCATCACAGGAGTCATCCAGGTCATAGTAGTACCCTGGGGGTGGGGAGAGGCTGGCATGAGGCTGGGGTCAGCTTGGGGACCTGCTGGGACCCCAGGGAATCTTCTGGGGAACTCCACTGGGGAGGGGGGTGCAGCAGGGCGGGATGTCAGAGAGGAGTGATGCGGATCCCACACGGGGCCCAGCAGGGTGAGGGGAGCCCTGACCCCTCTCCAGCAGCTTTGGGACCTCGGAGGGCATCGCCCATCCCTGCGTATCCTCCTGGCATCGCTGTGGGATGGGTGGCAGGGGCTCAATGGGGCACAGGCTGCAGAGGCTGTGGCTGAGCCCCCATCCCACTGGAGTGGGGACAGCAATTCCAGCCCCTCCCAGCTCTCCGTCTCCTCCTCACTGCTGTTTTCATCCCCACTCCAGCAGCCCCATCAATATTTAAAACCCTCGTATTAGCTCCAGTTCATCATTTATTCATCGGGCATGTCTGGAGCGCAGGGTTTACCGAACCGCTCGGATGCGGGAACGTCGGCATCCCTGGGAGACCCCCGGCCATGTCCCGGTGCCCGGAGGGGACATCCCCGGTCCCTCACCTTTCTCACGGGCCTCGCGCCGCCGCCGCTCCTCCAGGTCCAGTTTGCTGACCAGCCTGCGGTGCTGCTGCACGAACTCGTCGTAGATGTACATGGGGTCCTGGGCGCGGGGCTGGGGGGGCCGGTAGGGCGAGCTGGGCTTGGTGGCCTCGGGGAACGGGGTGGCCGGGGCTCTCTGCTGGCTCAGGATGCTCTGAGTGGATTTTTCCAGCTCAGCTAGGAAGGGGGTGTGGGTGAAGGCCCCGTGCTCCGGGGCGCCGGGCTCCCGTCCCGGGGGGTATTTCTCCAGAGCATCCCTCTTCCTCGGGCCCTCCTCCAGCTTCTCCGGGCAGAAGACCCTCTCCACCTTGACCAGCGGGATGCCCTGGCGGCCGG